TTTTTTTTTTTGTTTTTTTTCTTTGGGGGGGGGAGAGGATTTTGCCACAGGGCGTGTGTGCTTGTCAGACAGACAGAGATAGACAGAGAGACAGAAAGCGAGAAATCACCCCCCAGGAGGGATGGCCACACCGCAATCCCTTCTCCTCCATCCTCTTCTCGGGATCTTGGGTACGCACATACATGCACCCGGCGTGAGTTTCAAGCCACCGGGTCCGGGAAGCAAACCACAGTAGACTACATGGGAGTCCAGTGACATAGCCATTACGCTAACTGCTGGTCCCCCACTGAACACCTATTCTAAGCCCCACCTCTCCCTGGTCTTTCTCTACCTTAGAAGCTGCAAAGCTAAAAACTTGACTTTCAAGATTCTCTTGCAGTTAGAGGTGATCAAGTCAATGAAAACTCATCAGAAGGCTGATAAGGATTTCTGAAACAGTCTTTGTTTTTCAAATACAGTTGCCACCTCTTCTTACTCATTGCTACCTGGAACACAAATATGCTGATTAATCTGTAACAGCCATCTTGTGATCATGAGGAAAAGCCAAGAGAATCTCAATAACCTTAGTCCCAAGATACTTGGACACTTGGACCAAGTCAGAAACTACTGATCTCTGGACATCTCTTTTCATAGTAAAACAAAAATTCCTCATTTTCAAGCCCACGGTTTAGTCAAGATTTGTACCACTATCTTTTTGTTCTCATTATATCCAGGTCCAACTCATTAAAGGCAATCTCCTGAGAGGCTAAAGACCTGGAGTTATATGAACGAGGCAAAGAGAAGGTGGAGAAAGATCACTGAATTGTAAAGACATAGATGAAAATCCAGAGAAGTAAAAGTATATTGTTTTTCACCTCCCTGGGGGCCAAAAGGATATCACTTTAGTTTAACTGAGTTACTATTTACAGAGACATTTACCTGAAAATAAAAGTAGAAATAATACCATCTCTCCAAGACCATGTCCACTATGGCTTCCAATTGGAATTTTGAAGCTAGATAAAAATCCAAGAGTAGGAGATAATCTGTACCATCATAGACTTGCAAAGCTTCAGTGGGCCAGGAGAAAAGATAAGGGACAAAGTAGGCAGCCTAGCCTACTGCATGGCCTAAGCCAGGTATCTTCCAATTGCTGAATCTTGGTTCCTCATCTACTAGTAGAGTTAAGGCTCAAGTCCTAAGGGACACCCCAACTAACCATGTTCTCTTTCTAACTCTCATATACTGAGTAAATAGGTTCTGAGGCCCCGGAAAGTAGTAAAGGAACTCTTTTGAACACAGTATCCTTCTCAGAGTCTTAGAAATTATGGCACGCAAGCAGTTACATATTCTGTGTGTAAGAAGGCTTGGCTCTGGCCCACATAGCTGGGTGAGGAAGAAGGCTGGGTATGAATTCCTGGGTCAATAGCTACAAACAGACAGAAGGTTGACCCAAGAACCAGCTGAAAAAGTAGGGCTGCATGGAAGGTTTGTCTCAGAGAGAGAGGGTTTGGGAATATGTCCAAGACCTACCAGTACTGCCATCAAAGCCTCCCACTGCGTAGAGCAGGTCATTGAGCACTGCCGCACCCAGTGTGCTCGCTCTTGCATGCTGGCAATGGACGTCCACTGGTCCTTCACGCCATCGTACACGTCTACTGTTCGCACACGCAGTGAACCGTTGAACCCACCCACAGCATACACATGGCCAGCCATGAACACCACACCTGAAGCACAGGAAACCACAGCTTCAAGGTCAGGTCAGGCGGCTGACTACTCAAGTTGCTGGGTGACAATGGGGAGCAAGGCAGGCACATAAGTAACTCACCAGAGAAGAGTACCTCCAATTTAAGATATTTGTAAGTCATTGTGGGACACATTGGATTTCTCTTCCCAAGTGTTTTTTCTTTTTTATTTATTTTTTATTTTTTTGTAAATAAGTTTTTGCTATAGGGTGTGTGTGCTCACCGGAGAGACAGAGAGAAACAGAGACAGAAAGCGAGAAATCACCCCCCTAGAGGGGATGGCCACACCACAATCCCTTCTCCTCCATTATCCTCTCGGGATTTGGTGAACGCATGCACATGCACCCAGTGTGAGTTTAAGTTGCTGGGTCCAAGACTCGAACTGTAGCTGACATCATGAATGTCCAGCAACATAACCATTACGTCATCTGCTGATCCCCTTCCCATTTGTTTTTCTAATTTTATTTGATTCAAGCAAATACTTAAATTAGCTCAAAAAACCCAACCATATAAGAACTGACCCCAGAAGGAGTAGCCAAAAAGTAGAGAAGGGGAAAAGGGAAGGAGGGTAAAATTCACAAATATCTTAGGAAACAAGGAACAATGCATGACTTCCAGCACCAAAAGGAAACTAGCAGGGAGGGCAGCCCACACAACTGGAAGACAACACTTCTCACCTGCTCTGCACCTTCTGGAGGGAAGCTCAGCAATCTGATCCCACCGGTCCTCCTCGAAATCATAGCACTCCACACTGCGGATTGCCTTGGGTGCCTGGCCGCCAACCACAATCATGACCTCCAGAAAGACAAGCAGACATTAGCAGGTTCTCCCCAACATCCAGATTAATGGGTGACAATTTCCCTAGTACTTCTACATACTTAATGTATAAGCCCAGGGTCTGTGGCTGATCTAAGATGCCAGTTTATAGAGCTATACGTATGAAAATATTGTCATGAATCACCAAAAGGTGTACATTATTATTTTATTTTTAGAGATATTTTTGCTATTGGGTGCATGTACTCACCGGAGAGACAGAGAGAGAGAGAGAGAGAGAGAGTAAAAGTGAGAAATACCCCCCCCCCCACGGGGGAGGGATAGAAGTGCGAAACCCCCCCCCCCCCAGAGGGGATGACCACACCACAATTCTTTCTTCTCCATTCTCCTCTTGGGATTTTGGTTACACACGCACTTAACACCCAGTGTGAGTTTCAACTACTGGGTCTGGGGCTCAAACCATGGTCGACCATATGGGAGCCCAGTGCCTTAACCACTATGCAGCCCAAGAGGTATAAATATTTAAAAGTCTAACAAGCATCTTCCCACAAAAACATAGTCATAACATTCAGGGTTATGTTAGAGGTACATGAAGCCACATACAACATCTTCTGCAATCTCAATGCTTCTAGAATTGGGGGAAAGGGATTACTAAACTTCAACATATTTTAAGAGTGCAGAAGTTGGATGCATTTTAAGATAAAACGTTATTTAAAAATATTTTTGTAGAGACAGCATGGGAGGAGGGTGGGCAATGGGGGAGGGTGAGAGGAAGGGAATCAAAGAGCAAAAGAAAGAAGCAAAATATTTAAGGAACACAAAAATGGAAAATTATCTGTAATGATAACGCATATGATAATATCTTTAACTGAACTAATAGATAGTGTATTCATACCGGGAAAACTCATTGTGCATGCTGTAATGATATATCATCTAATAGACACAAAAATGGAAAATTATCTGTAATGATAACGCATATGATAATATCTTTAACTGAACTAATAGATAGTGTATTCATACCGGGAAAACTCATTGTGCATGCTGTAATGATATATAGTGATTGTGTGTGTATATATATATATATATACACACACACATATATTTTAGGGGTGGGGACAGCAGGCAATGCGATGTGGTAGTTAAGGCGCTGGGCTCCCAGATGGCCAACAGTGGTTTGAATCCTGGACCCAGCAGCTTAAAACTCACATTGGGCACATGTTTGTGCATGTCCAAATCCCAAGGGGAGAATGGAGAAGGGATTACACCGTGGCCATCCCCTTTTGGGGATTTCTGTCTCTCTGTCTCACTGGTGAGCACATGTACCACATAGAGATCATCTCAAAAAATAAATAAATAAATAAAAAGAGTAGAGAAATAGAGGCTGAACCCAAGTCTACCAGACATAGAAGTGAGGCCAGTCCACACGTTTCTTGCTCTAGAAAAAGAGTCCCTGAAAACACAGCTTGTTGCCTCTATAGTTGACAAAACACATTCATTAGCGTGTCACAAATTAACTCAACAGATTGTGACCAGTACACTTCGCTAGAGCAACTCAGAAAACATCACAATAAGGGTTTGATTTCATAAAATTTTTGTCCTGGTTATGTATATTTGTAAAAAGTTACTTCAAACGTTTGTGGGGAAATGGATGTAAGGTACAAGTTTATTTTGGTATGACAAAATTTTGAAATCCATGCATAGTTTTTTCCATAATATGCATTTTCCATGAACTTTTTGAGGACCCCACAGATATGTCTTCTGCAAAGCAATGTAAACATATTTCTTACTACAGGGCATAGTCAAAAAGTTGACAGCCTATTCTCTAGCAGGTTAATGGAACTACAGTACTTAACTGTGATATCCCTGTCGTTACATCTTTTGTCACACATTACTAATAAATAAAAATTAAGCAAAATGAAGTGTAGTTCACATATTTTATGATGTTTGTGCAGTTTCACAGCTGTTCCCATAATGGCATCACACTGGCATTCAAATATGTTCTTGAGAGAGAGAGGCGGAAGTCACAGCCAGTCAATCTAAGTCACAGGACTTGATCACTACCTGCAGCCTGCCTTATTTGCCCACTGGTTCTCACACTTCAGTATACATCAGAATCACCTCTGTGATTTGTGAAAGTACAGATGATAGGTTCTAGCCCCAGAGGTTCCGACTCAGTGCATTCGGAGAAGAGCTGTGCCTGTGCACTTTCTAACAAGTCCCCAGGTGATGCTGCTGCTGCTTCTGCCCTAAGATTCATACTTTGAGAACCACTTTCTTAACCCATGTCCAGTGCAGAGTTCCAGAGGATGTGCCATTAGCAATTTTTGCACAATGAATTATTATAGTGCTTTTAACTTCCTCACAATATTTTCTTGGGGAGAGAAGCAATCTTCAAAATCTGTGTGAACTCACAGGCGTACATACATCCTTTAGGTGAACATTATGGGGAGACAAAACCAGAGATGACAACCACTGCTTAAAATCAATTGTGTCCCAAGTTTCCAAATTCAGGCTCACTCAATGCCCATGTGGCAGGTCATGGGAAATCACAGTTAATTTATAGCTGTCTGTGACTATGTGGGTGACCAATGTTCAAAAACTCAGATACCAGTTCTGACTTCTAAAGCATTTCAAAGGAACTATGGATATACAGTCAAGGTTTGAGCTGCTGACACTTCCAGAAATAAATATTCTTCATCTGACTTTTTGTATCCCTCAGCCCAAAGGTCCAAAGCTCTGTATCAAGAGCAGCCTTTTTCTAAGGAAAGCTGAATTCTGCATTATCTTGTGACTATATTTCTTGCTTAGATAGGCATCCAATTCAAGAGAGAGGTTAATGAACACAGTCTCCTTGCAAACTTCAACAATGCCCAACTTACTCCTACAGAACAGAATGCCTTGCCCTATGTTCGTTGGACAATGGATCTTTCATTGTCCTCTTGGTTTTGAGCTGGTAAAACTCAATTGAAGGAAAAATATTGTGAGAATTTTTTTTTGAAATTTGATTTCTGGAACCGAATGAGAATGAAGTCAGTTTTCAGTTGTCTTTCTACAATGACTTTAGACACCCACACCTTCACACACGTACTTTAAACATTCGTCCTCCTTTCTGATCCCTCTGCTTTAATACATGCTTTCCTTTTAGGTCTCTGCTTACATATTACTTCTGCCAAAAGGACTTCTCTGACCTCCAAATCTGATCTGTGTGTCCCTCCTCTGAGATCTCACCTTCCTGTGTGTTTCACATTGTGCTTTGGCCATCTGGCCTCTAATACAGTGAGCTCTGCCAGGATAGGAAATAATTTTACCTCACTCACCAAGAAAATACTAGATCATTATGTTGCCAGGTGGACACGAGGATTCAAATATTTATTTAGAATAAGGAATGAATAAAAAGTGAATCATACATACAAATACACAGTTAAATTTTTAAAAATAGAAAACTGGAGTGTCACTTTCTACAGTTAAGGCATCTTGGAATATAAGATTATAATTATGGGGACAGTGAGAAAAACAAAAAAGAAAAAGAAAAGGTGAGAGCACTTCCTATTTTATGACTCAACCACCAGAAAGTTGCTTTTTCTTTGCACAGGCTTCTTCTGTAAGATAAAAAATAAAGGCAAAGCTTTCAGGGAACCAAAATCTGTCTCTCTCCAGGGCTGGGGAAAATACATTTATATGGGAAAAAAATCTACCACTCTTCTCCGAGAATTTTCATAGTAACACAGAAACTGTATTATTAAAATGCAAAATATTTATGTTAAAATAAAACCTAAGTATGACAAAAATAATACAGGATGAGGTTTTTTAAAATAACTATCCTTTGAGTTCATAAAAACTACTGATGGAAAATAACATTTTCTTGGAGAGATTTTTTTTTTTTTTTTTGCTATAAAGGACATGTGCTCGCTAGATAGACACAGAGAGAGAGACAGAAAGTGAGAAACCACCCCCTGCCAGGGAAGATGGACACGCCACAATCCCTTTTCCTCCACTCTCCTCTCAGAATCTTAGACACATATGCACACATGCCCAGCATGAGTCTCAAGTCACCTGGTCTGGGACTTGAACTGCAGTCAACTACATGGCAGTCCAGCAACATAACTACTACACCATCTGCTGGTCCCTACAACTTTTTTTTTTAAGCTTATTGACATAGAGTGCACGTGCTTGCCAAAGAGAAATAGAGGGAAAGTGAGAAATCAACCCCCCAGAGGAGATGGCCATGCCACAATCCCTTCTCCTCCATTATCTTCTCAGGATTTGGGGCATGCACACACACATGCCTGGTGTGATTTTCAAGCAGCCGGATCCAGGACTCGGACTGCAGTCAGTCATATGGGCATCCCGTACCTTAACCATTATGCCACCTGCTGGCTCCAGAGAAACAATTTTATTATTCAAAACTGGTACAAATATCTGAGGAGAGGAATTAGAGGTTTTGTAGGGAAGAGTGGGTGTATGTTCCGCTCCTTTCATAAGCATAAGAAATTTTATTTTTAAGCAGGTCTTGTAAGAAGCCATCATACAAGGAACACTATACCCATCACTGTGTTAATCATGCAGGGTAAAAAGAATAAATTTACTATCTGAATTTTAATGGATGGTTGTTGCCATAGATAGCTGATCTTAGCAACCAATTAGGCAAATATGAGTAATTCCCAGAGTCTACTTGTATTATATCTCTAAAATTCCAAATGTATAGCTATTTAAGAAGACCACAGGATTTAAGAGCATGAAGAGGCTTGAACAATTCTTTCTGGCAAGCCCAGATTTTACATTTCCAAAATCATTCAGACCCAGGGAGGTCAACTAACATATTTCTCTTTTCCCCCAGTATTCCTAAATCCAAATTTACTAGAGATCTATGATGCCTTTGATAGAAACTACTGAATCAAATCAGTCCTTGTTTGTTTGTTTGTTTGTTTAAAGGTTTTTGCTATAGGATCTGTGCACTTGTGAGAAAGGAGAAAAACAGTGAGAGGGAAAGTAAGAAATCACCCCCCAAAGGAGATGGCCAC